CTGCACATGTCTAGAAACGCCACCAGACAACATTGTAGACCTTTTTGTAGATGTCTCCTTGTGTTTAACTGCCAGTTTGTAGGTTTGCGTACTGGCAGACACTAACGATTTTGGTGCTTTAGTGCTGAGTTTTTCTTTCAGTTTTTCTACCTCAAGGGTAAGGAATTTAACAGTCTCAGTAAGCTGTTTTATCGTAGCTGCACTATTGCAGTTGCTGCATTCTCCGAGTTCATTGTTTTTACATATTTTATTTTCAGTTTTTGGTGTTGAAGCCGCATACTGTGTAAAATTTTGAACAATATCAGTATTGGCTGTCAGAAGAGAATCATTTTTTACAGGTGTTGATGACATTTGTGGAATAGATTGTTCCAATTGCAACATACTTCTAGTGCTGTTAGAGTCTTTGTTTTTTATGTCATGAAGGAATTTATCCAGCCACGAGTTTGCCGATGATCCTTGGATGTGCAGGACGCTGGTGCCAGAATAGAGTGTGGCTGTCACAGTATTGCACTCAGACTTGAAAATCTGACCATTCTTCCCTACTTCTTTAATTGCCTTAAGTTCTTCTTCCAAATAGCTCAAAATAGTGGCATATTTGTCTTGTTGAAATGATATAGTTATGCTGTATTTGTTAAAAGTCACATTCAAAAAACTTGGTATACTCACTCCATTAGGTGTGATACTTCCAGTTTCACTAAATGATTGAGAAAGTCCAGAAAAAGATGTAAATAAGCTCGAGTTAATACTTTGATCCATAATTATTTTGAGATGTCGTCAGGTATTTAGCCATAGAACCCACAACATTATCACTCATAGCAATTAAGTAAAGGTAATCAGGAGCAATCAAAAACACGTCTTATCAGTTCGGTTGCATATAGTCTAAGGTGCAGAACTTCATATGGTGAATAATATGTGTACAAATTTTCAGACAAATCCTTCCTATAGTTTCTGAGTAATGTCGACTACCCCGCTTATCTTGACGTATATTCACAGTCCCAAGAACAAAATTTATTTGGTATATGTTGACATCAGGGCAATTTTCTGCTCTACTTAGCCTAATTGTTTGTCAGCTGGTCGCTCGTCACACACGGACGACTCCTTGTATCTCGACGTCGTCAGAAATTCACACCTTTCACACCCATGTTTTGAATACATACGGCTTCTGTAGAAATGTGTTTGTAGAGGAATCAGACACCCTCAGTGTCTCTTAGACGTTAATTGTTTAATATTTAGCTGGTTGATCTGTTTAGCTCGGGTAATATCATTGATAGCTGCTTGATTCTGCATTAATCTACAACCATTTTTTTTAATGTTGAAATATAACATAACTTCAACATTTTACTTTTTAAGGACAGACGAGACGTTCCTCAATAATAGATAAATTTTTTCTAAGAGTTTGACATTGAAGTATTGCTACTTAAACATGTTTATTCACAAAAAATTGAGGTACCTTACCAGGCATTTCTGCAAGATACCAGAGGTAGATATTTCTTATATAATCCTTTGGGGAAGAAAAATAATTTTCCTATTTCAAATGTTTAAGTGTATGGATTTTTAAAAAGCGTTTAGAAACTGGTTTAGAAATCAGAATATTATTAAAATTTTGAATATTTTTCATACATTACGAAGATATACAAAACAGATTTTGAGGAATGTCTCGTCTGACCTTAAAAAAAGTAACTAAATTATGATGAATAATATGCACATTAAATTCAATTTAACTTAGAAATTGTAGAAAAAATGCATTCAACCGGAAACAATTCAATCTATGGCATGCGCACGACAAGCCATGATATCCATATGCAGGTGTTACAGTCCCTGAAACGTTCTACTTTCCCACCTGAACGGTGAACGAACGCTGAACGAACGCAGAGCGAACGGTGAGTGAACGATGTGTGAACGGTGAACGCAACTTGGTGAACGGTGAACGGTGAGTGAACGCAGAACGCGAACGGAGCGCGAACGCGAGCGCAAAGTGAACGGTGAACGCAGGATGAACGATTTATTCGGAATGCCTTCGGTCTTTTCCTTGCATTGAAATTATTCTTTTATTCTATAATTCAAATGTCATAAATAAATATAAATAAACAATAAATAAACAGAAGAGATATAAATAAATAAATAAATAATAATAAAAAAAATCTGCACATACATATGTTTAAATCGATATTTTAATAACATGATTTTAATCGCCGTCAAACGTGTATTTGTTACCTCGTGTAGTTAAAAAATAAATTAATCTTATATAGTAAATGATTATGCTTATTTTTTTAACTAATAAAATAATGTGGACTTTAGAAGATAAAACTACTACTGAGATAAACAATAAATAGATAGATTAATTAATTAATTAATTAATTAATAAAAACATTTTTTTCTGCACATACCTATGTTTAATAACATGATTTTAATCGCCGTCAAACGTGTATTTGTTACTGGGTGTAGTTAAAAAATTAATTAATCTACTTATATAGTAAATAATTTTGCTTATTCTTTTCATTAATAAAATAATGTGGACTTCTGAAGATAAAACTACTACTTATAGAATGAATAAATTACATTGTACGGGATTGAAACAACCGAACATGTATGTATTTCCGTGCCAAAGCGATTCTGAGTATAATAACGGATTTTTTTTAAAATTCACAATTATCTGTTGACATTGACTGTTATCGCACTGCATAAAAATTCTCGTTTTATTTAAATTCTAATGCAAAATATTCTACATTTATGTGCCTTTTTATTCTTTTATGACGATTATTTTAGCTAACTTCTTCATGTATCTGTAGACATTTCCCGGCCGTGATTATACTCGGTCAAGATGTTGGAAAGAGGCATTTAAATTATTTATGCTACATGTGTAGATAAATTTTCAAAACTAAATACGTAATGTGTTGTCATAGTTTTTACTGAACGGAGAAATGTACGAAAGAGAGAGAGATAACCCCCTCGATTCTCATGCAGATATCTGTTGTATCAAATAAAAATTGTTATTATTTTTCCTAAATATTCCAATCAATAAAGGTAATCTTTTTTTAGATTAACAAATCCATTTGACAGTAATCATTGGCTTTTTTCCCATCATCAAGTTCACACAGTTCACAGGAAGTCCATGCTACATTTGTAGTAGCGTGCTTGTGCTGTCAATCAAAATAATTCGACACAGTGGAGGTGTGGAAATCGCATTTCATGCCGAAGGAAAAGAGTCACTTAGTATTCCAAGAAATTTTTATATTTTTCCCTATCATTTCTGGATCTGATTTTTGTATTCCTGCAGAAAAAAAAATAATTCAAATATATACTTGGAAGGATTAAGTTTTAAATTGAATGTGAAACACATTCACTGCCAATTTAAAATACTACTGTCGGCACAAGTTTATACTTAAATACTATTGTTTAATGACTGTTTGATGCTGGTTTTAAGACTGAATATCTTGTGTTACAATAAAAATTAAATATTAATTAAAATATACTGAAAAAACTCAATTAGAATTTTATTTCAGGAGAAAAGGCACCGGGGGGGGGGCTTAATTATACTGAATGGCAAAAAACATATTTTTAAACACATGTTTAGGTACGGTGAAGGAGGGAATTTTCCTTCTGTAATAATAGACTATTTTAAACAGTTGGTCTTTTCTAAAATTTAAAACCACACCATCAATTTAATTAGCTCTAAAGATATTTAATGAACTGAATATTTGCAGTACTGTTCATAATTCGCAAACCTACATGTAGTTTAAATACGTGTTACTGTAGAAATATTTTTTTAATGTATTCTTGTCCTGTAAAAGACTTGGATTAATTACTATACATCCATTGATAATTTATCCTCTTAAAATTACATCAAATTGATGCCGTGCGTGAAGCATTTGTACATTGCCCTTTTTTTGAAGTTAATATTTTAGCATCGTTCTACATACATGTAGGTTCTTAATGTATTAATTATTTTCCAGGGAAAATTCATGAAATAAGTAACAGCTGAGTTATAATAATGAAAATATAAATATCAGAGATAAGTTTTGCAGCTATGAAATAATTATTTTTCAAACGCGATATCTAAGTTATTTTAAATTAATTAAAAAACATGTAAATCCTTACCATCAAAGAGATAAGTCCTTTCACTTCGGAGTTCCGAATGACAATGAAGACTGAACGATAAGTGAACGGTGAAGAAGGTAAACGAAAGAAACGGAACAAGAGCGAACGTTTTGTGAACGGTGAACGCGAGCGCACGGTGAACGCTGAACGAACAGTGAACGAACGCTGAATGAACGCTGAACGAACGGAAAAATGGGAAAGTAGAACGTTTCAGGGATGTAATCATTAGCTTTTTTTATACGCAAATCCTTTTATTAAAATTTTGATTTGAATTTTTTTTTTCCCGTATCAGGGAAAGTTTTTATACCATTTTGATTCTATTTTTAAATGCATTACGTATCCTGCTCTGACAAAGCAAGTTGCACGCGGAATGCTGGATGAAAACTTTTATTTTTTAGTAAAATTAGAAGATTTCCAAAAAAAGGGGAAGCATTTTATTAAATTACATTTGTGAAAAATTGATTTTTTTAATAAATATGGAGGGATAGCTGAAACAAGCAAGCTAAAGTCTTTTGAAGACATGAACGTATTTACATGTACATGTTTTACTATGCAGTACTTAAATTAGGGACTTTGAGACTAACTTGATCTCTCAACACCTCGGATATCTCGACATTTCCCGATTGTCCCGCCAATGTGGAGATAAGGAAGTTTACCTGTAATAGTGTGTGGGTTAGTTTGATAACCGATAAAAGCATTCTTTTTATAGAGATACATTAAACAAACTGATACGTAATGTACATGTACATCAACTTTTTACAGAGATTCAGTTACTTCAGTAAAGACCAAGAGATATTACTTTGGACTCCTGAAAACCCACACAGCCGTGTCAATTACATGCTCACTGCCTCCAAACTGTCAGCTGACTTGAAGGCTCTGAAGAGAGACATGTCTCTACCACTGTCAGATTCGAAGACGCCAAAGTGGATCTTGGTAATGTCTGAAATAGAATAAAAACTTAAATATTACTATCCAAGGTTTTTCTGTTTCAATTTTAAAATTACACTCTTTCTTAAATGTATGAGCCTGATGTTCATAAGTTTACTTCTCAAGGTTTGTAATATATTCAATCCTTTTACAGATCCTTTCATCAAAAGTCACCTGTTTGAAACCATTGTCTTCCTTCAGAAAGAGATAGGAGTCCACTACACTGAGGTTTTTACATTTTTGTCAGCCCTTAAAATATTTAATTTTTTCTAACTCGCAGTAATTGAAGTTTTCAAACAAAATCCAGTGTTTTACACTTGTATAGTATTTCATCAAGTTTGATGGAACACCGTATTACTGTAAACCAAGTATATATTGGTGCTAAATATCCGTGAGTTCCACGAGCAACCTCTCTCGCGGATATTTATTTCCAACCAGTTGTTCATTATAATTTCCATGTTATGATTAGAGTCACTTGCCCTTTTTTGAATGCCGATATTGATCCCGACACTTAAATATGTAAACACGGAAGAACTTAATTGCACTAGGAGCAGTTAGAATTTAATTACAAACATTCAGTAAAAAAATAAAAACGAATGGTAAATCTAAAACTTTTTGTCTAAAAATGATTAAAACTGTCAATAATTATATCAGCTTGTGTTATTGTTCATTTATTGTCACAGACGAGATGAGAAAGTTGGTTTAATACAGTAATTACGGTTAATTATGACACAGCCCTGCTCTGTCCAAACCAATTGTAATAATTACCCTTTGGCTTGAATAATGCGTAAGCAGTACTCTTAGAAAACCTATTTAGGGGTGGATAAAATTTTAATTTGATACAAAAAATACTTGGGGAAAAAAAAAATGTGACAACTTGTTCGCGGAAATAAATCGTCGCGGATTAGTTCTCTAGCGGTCAGTCGCGAAAAAAAAATGACGCATATAAAAATTGGTTTACAGTATGTAGATGTAGATGTTTATAAATGTTCTTGTATGGATTGCCTTGTTTGACAGGAGCTGAAGAGCCAGGCAGCCAAGATCCTGGGTTCTGTGGACTTCCTTGGGAATCCCCTGGGTCTGTTTAATGATGTCACAGAGTGAATTTCAGGTCTGATCAATGATGGCAATGTGGGGGGTTCCTACGAACGTCACACATGGAGTGTCCAACTCGGCTGCCAAGGTAATTAGCTTAGTTTGCAACTTGATAAGCAGTACATGCTACTGTTTATGTTCAAATTGTACAATATTTTTCATTAAATGTACATTATTCAAAGTGTTGAAACTCAAATTTAAAAAAGTGTCATAATATTTTTACATATAGACCGTGCATTTGTCATGTGACTTCCTAGTGGTTAATATTCTTTTGAATCAGCAATTTAAATAGATTTTGAAAATGATTTCTTTAAAGTGTTTTATGCTGTTTGATGTTTATAGGTTGTAGGATCACTATCTGATGGACTTGGGACACTGAACATGGACAAGAATTACCAGGACAGACGGGAGCAGTTGGGGGTGCCCAGTCCAGGGGGGGGCAAACTGGCCGGGGTGAAAGGTTTTGGTAATGGACTGTTTGGTGCTGTGACCAGATATTTACTCAGCCCTATGACGGCTTCAAGGAAGATGGTATCCACCTAAATCATTGAAGGAAATTCAAAGGGTTCTGAAATTTTAAGAAATTGAAGACTAGTAGAAAAGGGAAAAGAATTTTTTTAAAAAATTATATTTGATTTTTTCAGCTGTAAATTGCTTTATGTGTTATCAGGGCCTTGTGACAGGGATAGGGAAGGGAGTGATTGGTACGGTGACTAAGCCTGTAGTGGGAGTACTCGACCTTGCCTCGGGAGCTGCTAATGCTATCAGGGACACCAGCAGTAGCAGCTCTCGATAGTCCCCCCCCCCTCCGACTCCCACGGTGCTGTCATGGGGCGGGGATGCTGTCCTCCTTATTCTCAAAATGACTCCAAGTCACAGAAACTACTGCATGATCTCAACAAGAAGAACCTGGAGGAATTGTAATTATTAGATACCATAAAAATTATAGTAAAAACAGTTTTTTTCCTTGTAAAGTTTGATCGTAATAATAATACATATTTTATATATACTTTTAAAAAAAAATGTTCTTTTCGTTTCCTTTGTGTACATATGGAAATCATATTTTAGAACTTTTTTTTTGGTTTGTAGCAGAAAGAAAATTAAGAAACAAAACAAAGTAGTTGTAAAATATGGTTCTTAGTAAATTTAGAAAGTAATAAAATCTTTAAATTGTTTGTGTGGTGGTTGTAGCTTCATAGCTGTAGAACAGCTGAGGAGAGAAGACAGACTGATGTCCCTGATCACCTCTAGACAGGTGTACTTCTTACTGGGGGGTGAGGCCATTTGGGAACATCATTCTGAAGGTCCCCCAAAAAGGGCTTTTCCAGTGCTGGTGGTGGAAATAGAAGTGAAGGGCTTTTCACGTCAAATGGTTTTAACAGAATTACATTACTGTTATGTCTTGAAAAGTATATTTATGATTGTATCTTTCTTCGTTGATTTACAGAGGGTAGATATTACCTGGAGCTTGTGAGGTCACAAACATCAGCTTCTGATCAACAGATCCCCCAGATAAGATGTGACAAAAGACCGTGGCTGAAAGGGTAAGTGTGACAAACAGACCGTGACTGAAAAGATAAGTGTGACAAACAGACCATTGCTGAAAGGGTAAGTGTGCATAAACCATGACTAAAAGGGTAAGTGTGACAAACAGACCGTGACTGAAAGGGTAAGTGTGACAAACAGACCCTGACTAAAGGGTAAGTGTGACATACAGACCGTGACTGAAAGGGTAAGTGTGACAAACAGACCGTGACTGAAAGGGTTAGTGTGACAGACCATGACTAAAGGCTTGGGGCAAACAGACCTGACTAAAGGGTTAGGTGACAGACCATGACGGAAAGGGTTAGTGCGACAAACAGATCATTTAATTATTGGCTTTATTCGGAACATGATTACATGTATTAAAATGTACATATACCTGGATATAAATGAAAACACTGCAGATTTGCTTGTCTGTATTTGGCCATATTTACTGGTAATAAAAAACTGTGTTAACCACAGAGTTTTGTAAACTGTGGAACTTTGACTGGGACATAAAATACATTTTATCAAAAAGTTTATATATTGGAAACGCAGGTTAACACAATGAAGGCTGGAGCACTACCAGTATGCTTAACTGTATTCTATTTCTTGTCAGGTGAGTCAACAGATCAACTACGCCCTAACCTGTATGAAGAACAACAACACACACTGACATCTACAGAGGCTGAAGATACATAGTGGATAAATATAGATACATTGTGGAAAATCAGATACAAACGTGTTGTATGTGATTGATAGAGCCATTATGAAAAAAATTATATGGGATTTACTTTATCACATGTGAATTACTTCGTAACTTGGTGATAGAAACTTTAAAAAATCGGCATAATGAAGATTTTTCCCCATACACATTTCTAGGAATGTACTTTGATTATACAATCATTTATTGTAATATTGTAACTTGATATTAAAAAGATATGATTGCAAGACTTAGTTTTAAAAAATTATTAGATAATTAATGCATTTATTTCCATAAATGAAACATTCCCGCGGGTTAACTGTTAGCTGCAGATCTGTAGATGTCGGAAGTCAATATACAGTTTTTTCAATGTAGCTCTCCGGTCTATCAATATATTTTTTCAGACAGCTACAGATCTGCAGCTAGTTAACCGTAATGAAATGTTGTGCTTCAATTCAGATTTGATTATAAACCATGATAAGATTTGCATATGTATGATAATTGAATATAATTTTATTGAAACTCTTTCTTTTAAATGTAGACATGGATCTATATGACTTAGAATTCTTGTTTGTTATTTTGCCATTTGTTGATTATTAAAGCATACAATGTTCATAATATTTGTTTTTATTTTGTTTTAATTAAATGCAAGTCAGTATAATATATATATAAATTTCTTTTTGAATGAATTTACGTGAAAAAGTGTATTAAACTGTTCAAACCCCGGTTATACCGCATAACGGTAAGATATATCAAATTCATTAATTTTTTTTTAAATTTTTGTAAGCTAGTGTATAAAAAAAAATTTCCCTAAAATTAAAATTACATTAAATTGTGCAAAATTCAAAAAAAAAACAGTCAGTCAAAAAGTGCATTACAGCCTTAATTAAATTATTTAAGAATGCACTCAGGCTGTAATTTAAGGGAGTGACTGGGGTTTTTTTTTTGAAAACTACAATTGAGAAACTCTTTTTATACCATATATGACTTACAGGTAACAATGACAAATTTAACAAAATGCAAATGAAATATTTTATTTTGTTGACTTGTATCCATCAAGAGTAGAAATGACAATGATATCAGTTTAAGTTTCTCTTTATCATGAGTTACATCTAAATCCAATACACATGCCTCAGAAATGTCATATTTTTTTTTATAAATGGATGATAAATTTGGGGGTCTCGCTCTCTTTCATACGCCTTTTAGTTCTTCTATTGTTAATTTTAATGACAAATACATTTATCATTAAAATTTAATTAGATAAGCATGTTTTGTATTATCCACGAATCCATGCCATGACAAATCAGACAACCAAACGGGCCTCTAAATCTAAAAGTTCACCAATGGAAATATAGAACATCCTGAGTGATAGCCTGAATTACATATTGACAATAATGTAATAATAATGCATGTACATATAAATAATATTAAATTGAATTCACTTTTTATAGAGAACTGGTCAATTAATATCAAGGTCTTTAAAAATCCAAACCAGTTTAAAATGGTATATGCTTGAGTTGTTTCATAATAAATGGTAATGTTACATAAATTTATTGATAAACAAGTTTCCCAAATTGCTGTTTCATGTCTTCATTATTTAATTGTGGTGATGTTTGATATATTTTGAATATTTTGGGCCAGGCAGAAGAAAGGATAATAAGGATGACCACTACATAAAGGCTTCAGAGTGGAAAAAAGTGGAGTCAGGAGAAAAAATGCCTTTCTTCTTCCGCAACAAACAGAAGAATCGCCATGAGGTGAAAATTGTTCTGATATGTAGTATTTTCACTTTCTTTTAAGAGGATGTATTTTTAGCTTGCTGATAACTTGTACAGATTTAATATATTGCCTGATCTGTCTGCTATAGAAAACTATGAGTTGAGCATCAATCAGCTGGTTGTGAAGGGGGATGGGTGGATGAAGCTGTCCAATGTGTCGGTGGATCGTGTGGGGGTGTACTTCAACACGCTGAACCTGATGTCTCACAGGCCAAAGGATTAACTGGGGTGAGTATAAACTTTTGATGTGTCATTTTTAGCTCACCTGAGCTGAAAGCTCAAGTGAGCTTTTCTGATCACCCGGTGTCCTTTTTTTGTCCGTCCGTCTAGCTGTCTGTCTGTCCGTCCGTCCGTCTGTAAACTTTTCAATTTTCAACTTCTTCTCAAGAACCACTGGGCCAATTTTTAAACCCAAAATTGGTACAAAGCATACTTGGGTGAAGGGGGAAATTTTAAAATTTTTAAAATCAAGGGCCAAACCCCCTTAAGGGGAGTAAAAAGAAAATACAAAAATAGGGTTTGGGGCATTAAAAAATCTTCTTCTCAAGAACCACTAGGCCAGGAAAGCTGAAACTTACATGGAAGCATCCTTGGGTAGTGTAGATATTAAATTGTTAAAATCATGACCCCCGGGGGTAGGGCGGGGCCACAATAGGGAATCCAAGTTTTACATAGAAATATATAGAACAAATCTTTAAAAATTTTTTCTAAGAACCGCTGGGCCAGGAAAGCGAAACTTTTGGAAGCATCCTGGGGTAGTGTAGATATTAAATTGTTAAACTCATGACCCCCTGGGGTAGGGCGGGGCCACAATAGGAAATCCAATCTTTACATAGAAATATATAGAACAAATCTTTAAAAATCTTCTTCTCAAGAACCACTGGGCCAGGAAACCTGAAACTTTTGTGAAAGCATCCTGGAGTAGTGTAGATATTAAAATGTTAAAATTTGACCCCCCGGGGAGGGGGGGACAATAAAATCCAAGTTTTACATAGAAATATATAGAAAAAATCTTTAAAAATCTTCTTCTCAAGAACCACTGGGCCAGGAAAGCTGAAACTTATGTGGAAGCATCTTTGGGTAGGGCAGATATTAAATTGTTAAAATCATGACCCCCGGGGGTAGGGCGGGGCCACAATAGGGAATCCAAGTTTTACATAGAAATATATAGAACAAATCTTTTAAAATCTTCTTTTCAAGAACCACTGGGCCAGTAAAGCTGAAACTTATGTGTGAGCATCCTTGGGTAGTGTAGATATTAAATTGTTAAAAATTTTGACCCCCAGGGGTAGGGCGGGGCCACAATAGGGAATCCAAGTTTTACATAGAAATATATAGAACAAATCTTTAAAAATCTTGGGCCAGGAAAGCTGAAACTTATGTGGAAGCCTCTTTGGGTAGGGTAGATATTAAATTGTTAAAATCATGACCCCCGGGGGGAGGGCGGGGCCAAAATGGCCGACCTAAGTTTTACATAGAAATATATAGGAAAAATCTTTAAAAATCTTCTTCTCAAGAACCATTGGGCCAGGAAAGCTGAAACTTATGTGAAAGCATTTTGGGTAGTGTAGATATTAAATTTTTAAAATATACCCCCGGGGGTAGGGGGGGCCACAATAGGGAATCCAATTTTACATACAAATATATAAAAAAATTTTTAAAAAACTTCTTCTCAAGAACCACTGGGCCTCAAAAGATGAAACACATATGGAAGCATCCTTGGGTAGTGTAGATATTAAATTGTTAAAATCATGACCCCCGAGGTTAGGGGGGGCCACAATAGGGAATCCAAGTTTTACATAGAAATATATAGAACAAATCTTTAAAAATCTTCTTCTCAAGAAACACTGGGCCAGGAAAGCTGAAACTTATGTGGAAGCATCCTTGGGTAGTGTAGACATTAAATTGTTAAAATCATGACCCCCGGGGGTAGGGCGGGGCCTCAATACTGAATAGGGAATCCAAGTTTTACATTGAAATATATAGAACAAATCTTTAAAAATCTTCTTTTCAAGAACCACTAGGCCAGCAAAGCTGAAACTTATGTGGAAGCATCCTTGAGTAGTGTAGATATTAATTTGTTAAAATCATGACCCTCGGGGGCGGGGCCACAGTGGGGAATCAAAGTTTTACATAGAAATATATATAGAACAAATCTTTTAAAAAGATCTGCATCACCCAAGTTACTCAGGTGAGCGATGTGGCCCATGGGCCTCTTTTTAGCTCACCTCAGCTGATAGCTCAAGTGACTTTTTCTGATCACCCGTTGTCCGTCGTCCGTCTGTCCGTCCGTCCGTCTGTCTGTCCGTTTGTCTAGCTGTCCGTCCATCCGTCTGTAAAATTTTCACATTTTCGACTTCTTCTCCAGAACCACTGGGCCAATTTCAACCAAACTTGGTACAAAGCATCCTTTGGGGTTTAAAGGGGGAAATTTTTAAATTGTTAAAATCAAGGGCCAAGACCCCTTCCAAGGGGAGATAATCAAGAAAATACAAAAATAGGGTGGGGTCATTAAAAAATCTTCTTCTCAAGAACCACTGGGCCAGAAAAGCTGAAACTTATGTGGAAGCATCTTTGGGTAGAGTAGATTCTAAATTGTTCATCACGACCCCCGGGGATAGGGCGGGGCCACAATGGGGAATCCAAGTTTTACATAGAAATATATAGAACAAATCTTTAAAAATCTTCTTCTCAAGAACCACTGGGCCAGGAAAGCTGAAACTTATGTGAAAGCATTCTTGGGTAGTGTAGATATTAAATTGTTAAAATCATGGCCCCCTGGGTTAGGGTAGGGCCAAAATAGGAAAACCAAGTTTTACATACAAATATATAGAACAAATCTTTAAAAATCTTCTTCTCAAGAACCACTGGGCCAGG